TCCGCGGCGGTAAGATAGTACCCGGATACACGGCGAATGGCAATCTCGGGAGACCGTATATGTGGGTGCAGTACAGCGGACGTGATATTGAGTCGAAGGTGCACAATTCGCAAAATCGTCGTCCGGAGGTTTTGGACGTTCCGGCGAGGGGAACGGAGGGGATACGACAAAACTGCGGCGACTTTACACGCGTTTCGCGTGCGTTTTCGGTCGTACGCTTATTCCGCGAAAATGCTCCGAATCCGTTCGCGCCGTAACGTTTACGCGAACAAAAAAAATCGTCAAAATATAATTTTCTAATCGGTTTTTTTATAAAACGGAAAACGAAAAAAATATCCGACGCCCAATAAAATTCGTTGCAGGTTTCGGGTTTGTTGATTCCTGCGGGGGTAATCGCTATTATTGGATAAAAAAAAAAAAAAAAACTAACTGCAGGTTGCCTTAATTTCACAATGCGAATCCGGGAAAAATAACAAATAAAAATGGACGAAAAATATGATTGAATCGTATAATATAGATACCTATATAATCCATGTGTATTTCAAAAAAAAAAAAACAAACTAAAACAATACAATGAAAGTTGTATTTATTTTTTTATAGACGATAAATTTATTTTAAAAAGAACACGTATATTATTCATTTCTTTTTTAAACATTGAAAATGTAAAAGATTGTTATGAAACGTATAAATAATGGGTGAAACACGATGGGGACGTTTTACCTTTTTCGCAGCGCGGTTGCGGACGATTACTAATGACAAAAGATATAATTTTGTACCCAAAAAGTCACACGATTCCGGACGAAATTTAGTGAAACGTTGCCAATTTGTGCGACGTAGTCTACCGAGCTCCAACGATTATCAATTTTATGATCGGCTTATCGTTCGGATGTCTCAAGTACGAGCAGTACTACCTAAGCTACTTACGTAAAGTTTATCTTAAATCGTGTACTACACAATATTATTATTATTAATAATAATAATAATAATACAAATGCAAATGATAATAAGTGATGTGTAATAACATTGACGTCGTATTTCTATTTAAGTATACAATATTTTGACTAAAAAAATTAAGAAAAAAAAAATTAAGTTTAATAGGTGTTGTAATAATCAAAAAAATGAAAATAAAATAAGCGCTTTCTGTACACGTTTATGGAAGTGCACAATATTAATACAATTACATAAGCACGTCGAAAAACTCATAGAAAGTACATAAAAGTAAAAAATCAAAAATCAAAAAGGTAAAAAAAAAAAAAACCAAGCGCTACACGTACACATTTAAATTTATATTTTTTCCCCGTATAATGATAACAAATTGTTTTTAAATATCGGAACACGTTTTTATGAGATTATTTTTATCGCTTTCCGGTGGAAAAATTTCAATTAAAAGAAAAAAAAAAAACGCATACACTCATAAACTTGTACACTGTATAAGACATCGGCACCATAACAACTCAACGGACATAACTATATTGCTGCAGTGTTCAACAGAACTTACTTGTGAAATACTACATTTTAATAAGCTCAGAATTCCCCACATTATCGAAGTATTATTTATGCGTTTGACAACATTTATCCGCAATCGCGTCGTTTCCCCCGGGGTCCATTGTTAAACTATATTACCGTCCGCAATCGTGTTATTAAAAAGGTCGTCCGTCCGCAATCGTGTATCGCCGCAAATAATAATAACTGACAACTATTTGGATACAATGTAAGGCTTTTGTCATCGTTGTTTTATCCCGTGTTCGTTGAAAATCTCATCGCGTTATCTTTCGATTAGAGTTCCGAAACAGCTGTACGAAAAAAACGTCGAAATCAAATAATATCAATATTCTTCTCGAAACCGGGACGCCGATACACCGGGTGACACTCCCGGTTTTCCGGTACGTACGGCGACCTTAGGTTTGTCGAGCTCCACTCCGAATCGCTTTTGGATTGCGATGATCCGTTGTTTGTTTCGGCAGTCGAACGCATTGTATATCATCCTGTCCTGTACACGTCTAACCGCCGACTTTCCGCCCGTACGACAGCTACGTCTGATATTTTTTATTTATTATTTTTTTCCCACCCGGGTACACCGCGCGTGTCCTCCACGCGGTTATACGGTATTTCGTTATCCGTCCTGGGCACGCGGACACGCGATTTCCCCTCTCCCCCCCCTCATAAGGAATAATTGTACATTATCGCGGGAAACGAGTTTTATTTTCGTACGCGTCTGCAATATAATCATTTAACTTGCGACCGCTAGTGTACCGCGATAGCGATTATTTCGCGGGTAATATGGCGAGGGGTCTCGTGCCGCAACAACAATCCGACCGCTTCTGTCGGATATAATTAAAAAAAAAAAAAAACCGATCAAATATTTATTTATTTTTTTTTTTTTTTTTGATTCGGTGATTATTACGCACTATAATATTATGTATATATATACGCGTCCCTATAGTATGTTGTACTATTATACGGGCTTCCTGAAACGACGTCCGCCGTACCACCGTTGCTTATTAACGTAACGCGACGCACCTATCGTATTTTATTTGTTAATCAGTTTGTAATTACGCGTATTTTACCGACGTTTCACGCCGCGCGTTATTAAAAAAAAAAAAAAAAAAAAAAAAAAAAATCATTATTTTTTTTTTTTTAACTCGACAGAATAATAATGATAATAATAAAAAAACCACAAAAATGACCTATTAATCGACCGGTTTACGTTATTGTATCTCACGACGATCTTATCAGTTTCTTTGAACCGACCGTTTCCTCCCGAATTTTTTTTTTTCATTTTTTTACCGGTTCGTTTTCGATTATATTATTGACATTTCCTTCCATCTCGTCATCGCCGTCGCCGCGCCCCCACCGACCCCCGCAATATCCGCGGCCGTAGCGCTATGTAATTTAGGAAAAAAAAAAAAACTAGACGAGAAACCGGACTACCTATACGGTATACACATAAAAATATATAGGTGGGTAATTCAAACACAATTTTTCTTTTTCGTTAATAATTTCCGACCCTATAATTAAATACGTACCTACTAATAATCGGTTGCGCGATACGATATTTTTTAAATAAATACCGTCGGGTATTTGTCTCGTAACGAGTATCGCGGCTAAGGTAAAAAAAAAAAAAAAAAATAATAATATATATACACTCCTCTTATTGGCTCTCGCCGGGTCGTTTGATTATTTCGACGTTGATAACGCCGCGGCCGAGCATAATATATTTGTACGACAACGGGTTGTCCGCGACGGTGATTAATTTATCACTATACACGTTACCTACGCATGCGCGTAAATATTGTAAACCAACGTACGCACGCACACAACAATACTACTCGTATATTATACCGTAGACGGGCGCCGGATCGTCGAATTTTAGCTACACACACACACACACATTAATGTATACGCCCGAAACGACCCTGCGCACAGAACGCAGGAGATAAAATCAAGACGTTCTCTCGAAACGCGAGCGTATACCGTACGCGCGTATTATTATGTAATGTGTACGACACAGTACTCGGTGCATACCCTACTGTAATACCGATTGATTTTCGATAGTGGTTGTTTGTTTACGTTTGATGTTAAATCCGTAAACAAAAATACGTATATATACGCGTGTACAAATCGCATCGTGACGTTCAAACTCGAAATCATCCCCATGTCTCGCAGACGTTATTCGTTTGAGACGGCCGTACCCCGCGTTTATACGGGCGTTTTTTTTTTTATTTTTTTTTTATATATATATGCGTGTATATTTGAAATGCTAATTGATCGTTATATTCAAAGTGGCGGCGCATCTCGGGTATATGCGTCTATACGAATAATTTCAACGGAACATATATTATTATATAAACGCATTTACATAAGTAATACGCCGTGTCTGCGCCACGTCGTAGGCCGTTTCGAAGAGAGAGAGGGAGAGAGAGAGAGAGAGAGAGAGAAAAAACGGTATAAATGTTTTAAACGTACCGCGTAGACGGTATCCACGCATCAGGGGGGTGACGACCGATGACGACAAAAAACCGACGCGAGCATAATATTACGAGTCCGAGATGATGCAGGTTAGGTCAGTCGTGTTTTCGACCCGTACGCGTCTGATCGAAAAAAAAAAAAACACGAATCGTAGACCATACTTCGATATTTCATTGTAGCTTCGTCCGGCGACACGGGCGTTGCGCTTTCGGCCGGATCGAAAAACTTCGATTTTCCACAACCCGGACGGTCACGTCTTTGTCGGGGTACAGGCGCGCGGACGGTAAAAAAATGTTCACTTCTCCCGCGGATGTTCGCTTCGTTTCTGTTGCCGCAGCGGCGGGTAAACGATAAACTTATCGCCCGCAACCCGCGGAATCTGTTTATTGCGGCTTGCAAGGAAGAAATTACAAATTCCCCCCCTCCGAAAAAAATAATATACATATACAGATATTTATATCTATTTTCGAGTTTCCGATAATGCCGGGGGCTAAATTTAAAATTGACCCAACAATTTTAATATGCCGTATATAGGGATGGAGAAAATAACATGTTGTTGGAAATTTAGGGAATTTTTATCGAACGGTTCATATCAATAATCTATCGATAGTGGTTTTGACGTTCCGAGTGAAAAAAAAAAAAAAGTGCAAGTGCGAGGAGGATTTTTTTATTTTCGTTTTATGCGATCGTCGCTCGTCAATAAGGATTAACAGTCGGGAAATGGCGGAAAAACTTGAAAACTCTACAACGAATACGTATTTTTTCATACCGAACATTTTTTTGATTTTATCGATATTTTTGAAAAAAAATATCGTTTAGTAACTTATTCGACGTTGAAGAGTTTTGAAAAAAACTACGAGAAATTTTCGCTTGTTGAATTACGCATAGATAATTTTCTAACAAGTAAAATATTATGATTTACAATATTATTTCAAGAGCGTATTTCGACAGTATTATTGTAAGCTTTATTTTCTTTCTTTAATTTTTTTTTTTTATCATCGGACATTTCTTTTCGATTGACTTTAACATTGGTCAGATTTCGTTTACCGGACTTTTTTCGACGTCCGGCTTTGGTTCGTAGCATCTACCTACACGTGCTGTACCTTATACCGCGACCGAATCGTAAGACGGGGTCGGAAATTTAATACCCGAATAAATTATTAAATTATAATTGTGCGTGTGTGTTTGTGTGTGTACGTGTTTTTTTGTTGTCTTTTTTTTCGGTTTTTGGACGACTCATTTATGTATACGGAATAATATTACGCCAGTCGTACACGCGCGCGGGCTCGCGCCAGTTTCGGTGATATTTACGACGTTTACACGACCACCGATGCGTCCGTGGGCAGTTTTTTCCGTTGAATTGTGTTGTTGTTGTTTTTTTTTTTGCAACTCGTCCGACGCGACCTTATTACAACGCGGCTACCAAATAACTACCGTCGTCGTCGTCGTCGTCGTCCGGTTTTATTTTATTTGTCTTCTTTTTTTTTTTTTTTTTTTTTTTTTTTTTTTCATCCTGCCCCCTTTTTTTCTTCTTCTGTTTTATCGCCGCAATTAAAAATCACGGGCGTTTGTGTTATTTGGACTCGTTACCGGTTGCTGTTTACCACCCGCCGCGACCAAACCGACGGCGCTGCGGGTAAAATTGACAAAATAATTCCTCGTCCCACAGCGCGCGCCCGTCCGTTTTTACGTGTACGTCCGTGAAAACTGTTATTCTTGTTTGTACGTCACGTGAACGACGTGTACCGAACGAATCGCGTCGTTTCGTTTCGCGGGAATACGACAAATATCAATTACAATATGTTATCGGCGGCGGATACCGAGTTGAATTTTGTGGGTCCAAAAAAAAAAATTACTACTTAGCAAAAAAAAACGAAGCAATACTGGGAACGGGTGTACAGCCGTTGTTGTAGGCGGGAAGTTGAGAAGATAGGGTGAGATCATATTTAATATTTATATCTGTAAGCACCACAAAACCGTTGCTTCTCCGTGTAAATATAATGCGTGTGAACACAGGGTAATTATTCGGCTGATACACTGTACGCGACGGTGATTCGTTGCGAAGACCGTATATAAAAGGTGTACTGTTTAAAATGTTGGTAAATTGTTTTGAATAAAAAACCGTCCGAAAATTAATTTTTTAGCGTTGGGTATAATTTCGAAACACGCAAGAATGAGACTCACGAAATACCCGACTCGGTAATTTGTTTAGACTCTGAATTTTGTAATAGTTGTTTGTTTGAACAAAACACTCGTAACCGAAATTTATTTTCAACGTATCCAATCGTCTCGGTCTCGGGTTATAATACGAGTAGGTACTCGCAGTATAATAACAATAATAACGGTCGACCGTTTCTGTTCGTGACAGAGTTCGAAACTGGGGTTCGCCGGCTCACGACACACACCCCTCGCCCATCTCCACGAGCCCGGATGAAACAACACAATAACGATGGTTGTTGTTAAAAGTAGTCTCGAGGAGTTGTCGGTTTATAAATAATATTACATTCCACGGTAATTTGACCGAATTATTTTTAATATACGACCAGAACGAACGTGGTGTAAGTTCAACTGACGGCCGTGGTGTCCGGACGAGGTTAAACGGTTTTCAACCGGGCTCGTATCACGTACATTATTTGTATAAATTATAATACGACGGCGTAAAAACAGTAGACGACGACGGTTGCGGTTTGAGAACCCGACTTGATCTGGGAAATAACAACAAAATCTATTTGTAGTTGGTAAAAAAAAAAAAAAATCATTAGTTTATTGTTAGTTTGAGAACGTATTGCACTATACTTGTGTTATCTACTAATTTATTTTCAAAATAAACAATAACGTGTACTGTTCGAGCAAATCGAAAATCGTTATGTCCGACAGAATTTTGTCGATTCGGATTTGTTCATACGTAACGAGCAAAAACTCTAAAATCGATTTTCCTCGTTTTGTGTCGGCAAAAACGAATTGAAATGCCGATCTGGAAAGGGGGGGGGGGGGATTTTTGTTCTAGAAAAATGTAAATGTTTTGAAACCAGTCGTGGTGAGATGGAAAAAAAAAACCGTTTTAACGTTATGAAACGTGTGAGTTGACCGAGAAGAATTGTATGGGCAATCTATAGATTTAGAGCTATGAAAATGTGAAATGTATGAAACGATACGAACGAGATCGAGCGATATGAAACCTATAAGATTTCATTGAAATGATGTATTGCCCAAGTCGTTGAAAATCTCCCGTTCGATACTGATTGCCAAATAAAATTTGTCTAACACGAATCGACACGGCCAGTGGCGCCGTAGTCCCAAGAATGTAGTCGGGCGAAATGCATTTCAAGAGGCCCAAATAACTAAACGCAGCACATTTTATGTCCAAAACTGTAGTTGACTTAGGTTTTTATTTCTGTAATCAACTATATTTATTCGGTTTTGCAACCGGACTTTGTTCCAACATGAACCGGCCCTGTGTTTAATTGTTTCACGAGAATCGGCCTTAACGTAGAGTGCGGAGTCATTGGACACAGCTGAACACGTGTAGAGTAATTTGCGCGGGTTCATCATCGACGAACATGTAGATCGTCTTCCAAGACCGTTAAACGGGATTTTTGAAACGGATTAATAGATTTTACGGAGAACGACGGGATTTGTGACGCCGATAGCGATTACCGTTGATCACCGTGAGACGCGAATTTGTCCGGACGGACCACTCGAGATCGTGTTACCGTTTCGGGACGACTCCTGCGCGCGAAATACCGGCGCCACAGATAACATCGACGACATAAAAAATGCCCGTGGATATTGCGTTGCACGCGTTATACAGGGCGATTCACAATAGAAACGCGTTTGTCTCATACTTTTTTTTTTTTTTATTACATTTTGCACACATTCGAATTCTGATTTTCGGAAATTTCAAGACTGAGAACCGCCGCAAGAACGATACCGCCACGCTGTCTAAACTTGAAATCGGAATACGGGACGCCGGAAATCCAAAACGTTAACGCCGATATTTACAAAAGGCTAAAAGTCCGTCGGTACCGTGGATTTTTGGTTATGGGTTCTTGTATGAAAAACCGAGAACGGTATCGCCTCGAACGCGGCGTAAAATTTCGAGCGTTCGGCTTCAAACCGTGGCGAAAAATCGGAATTTAACGGGATATTCGACCGGCTAAACGGGACGGGCGAGGTCAGCGAGTCGCCCTGTATATCGACGCGAACCGTCTCGCCCGACCGAAACCCGTAACGGCGCATTTTAAAGTGTGCGCGGCGCCAAGTGGTTTTCGTCGGCAAATTCGTCGCGGCATCCCGGGACCCGGTCTGGTCAATGTCGCGTCGCATCTGCGGCCCGCCGCCACCGGTCGGCGTAATAATATTAACGAGTGTACCGGTAGCACGCGGCAGTACCGGTAGCGGCGGCGGTAGTTAAAAACGTAATAATATTTTGTTTACGATTCACGTGTGGCAATAACGACGCCGCCGCGGGAACAGAAACGCGGTGGACGGGTCGGGGCGAACCCCCGAAAGAAAAAAATGCGCGCGGTTTTTGTGTAATAACGCGACGTCGTTACGAAAAACCGTGGTCCGCTCGCATACGGAGTCGCGGCGCGGGCACTGTAAAAACGACGCCGCCTTTTAATAACGAGGACCCGGGCACGACGCGCGCGGCCCGTTGGCAATGACCGCCGGCGGCAGGCGACCGACCTCCCACTCGGCGGCGCCCGGGGGGCCGGCCCGTCCGAGCGCGCGGCGACGCGGGCCGTTCTTACGCGCGCGTTCGCGGGGACGTGCCGCGGCTCCGGTCGGCTACCGTTCGCCCGCTCGGCCGGAATCCGCGGGACCCGAATCCAGTTTGCGGGAGCGGGGCGACGCGGCGGCGGACGGAGGAGGCGCGTTCCGTCCGTTTCGTATACGCGCGCGGCGAGGTGAGATGTTTATCTCGGGAGCGTTTCGAGAATCGCAACAACGGAACGCACGGGACGGCCGGGCGTCGGTGTACGCGCACCGGCAATGAAAATATCGCGTAGGCGTGGTCGCCGTATCGAAACACGACGCGACGCGATGCCGTACGAGTGCCGACGGGACGACGTGCGACGCGAAACATTCCCGGATTCGGCGAATCGCGTCGCGAAAACCGAACCTCGACGCGCGGCTACGGGTGAATTGCGGCCGGGGTGTTTTTCCGAAGCGGGCGAACCGCGTGCCGATATTTATGATAGCGCGAAAAATGTCGTCCACGGGGAGTACTCGTGTAATAGACAATAATTTACGAAACCGAGTATATTGCGACCGAGCGGTGAGTCGTGTTTGTGTTTTGATTTTTCGATTGAGAGCGGAGTTCTAAACGAGTGAAAAAAAAAAGAAGACCTGATTCTGGGGATGGAAGCGGCCACTGTTGTGGGTGAGAAGTCGGGCGGGTAGCATGCACGTAGGGATATTTCGTTTATATCTGTAGGCGACGATAAACCGTCGATTGGCGAAAGACGAATCCGAGCGCAGTTACCGCAAACCCGGTCGTTAATAAACTGCAGGAGAAAACTGCACGGGAGATATGTTTACGATACAGCTGACGGAGAACCGATCCGAATTTCGCGGTGGATTCGTTGGGATCCGCGTGTCGCCGATTGCGGTGAAATCACGATCGCCGACAGTTTTGTTTTGATCGGATCGAATAGCTCATCCGGTCGGCCCGGCGAGTGGATGCGGTACGCCGTCGATTATTGCGTTTCTGCGGGTAATCGATAATGTCACACGCCCGCGGAAGAAGCAACGGCGGCGCGGAGGCGCCGCCGTCGTTCGGCCGAGACGCAACGCGCTCCGGGTCGGCCATCCGTACGACACGCGCATCGTACGTCCGTAACATCGTTACGGTTACCGTACGGTCCGGCCGTCCGGTTATCGCGATGGCAATAAAACGCGCATTATCCCCCGTCGCCCATAAACAACGCCGAGCAACAATAACAATACGGTCGTGCGCGTCCGCCGTAATATTATCTCGTCGAATTGTACGTCGGTACGCGGCTCTCGACGGGGAACCGTCTGTCCGCCGCGCATCTGTGCGGGCGTCGTAATACCGTCTTCCCGGTACGCGTTATCGCGCCGTCCAAAGACCTAATAAACAACAGTGCCCATTGTAGGCGCGCGTTGACCTTGGCGGGCGCCCTTCGCGTCGCCGGGGCGTTCTCCGGGAAAGGGTTGGGCGCCCGAGGTCGGCCCGTTCACGGCCGCGGCGACGTTGACTGCGGGCCGTGACAATATTGCCGTAATGGTGCGGAGACGCGACGTCCGCGTCACGTTGTTTAGCCCGGCGGAATCCCGCGGAGACGCGTCCCACGAAAAAACACTACGGCGCGGCGCGAAACGATAAAGGACGCGCCGGACGTTTTACGACGGCGGCCGGGGACGGTTTTCGAGGTCGCCGCGGAACAGTATACAATGCGGGAGACGGAGAGAGAATAACAAGAGCTCGCCGCGGCCGACGGGCACGTTGTACGCGCGCATATTACTCCCGCGGACGGTCGTAATTCACGCGGGTTTCGTACGGAATCCGTGTACAATATTATTTTCCGTGTATGCGGAACCGAAACACCGGACACGTGTGACGGGGCCGTTACGCGATTACGGCCGCGGCAGCGGCGGTAGCGGAGACCGGTCGCGACGCGACCCGACGAGACCCCCGACCGCCGCGAGGGACACGGACGTAACAGTATACGAAACAGTCGTAAACTATAAAATATCGTTACTAATGGTAACACGACGATCGAACCACGGACGATAATAACGATAATAATTCCGCCGTTCACGTGACGGCATTATCGCGCACAGATGTCCGGCGCATGTGATGGTCGTCGTACAAAAAAGAAAAAAAACTGTCCGCCTAGGACGGCCCGCGGCTTTTCGAACGTTACGCGTTTCGCCCGGACGAAACTTTCCGGCCGCAAGACACGAGCGCCAGAGGCGCGAAAATGCGACGCGTCGTTCGCGCCGAAACGTGAGGGACACAAGCGCCGGGTTCAATATCACATGCCTGTTGCTGCCACCCGACACGGCATGACACGTGCGCCGAAATCTGTACGCCGTACGGTTTATGGAAGCACGGGCGTTTGAAAACCGTCGAAAATCGCCGGAATACAACGTACACCTATTGGGTGCGGTGCAAATAAACGGAAACAAATATAATTTTAATAAAGTGGATGATTCTCGCGAGATAAAATAATATCGTTATGAAATCGTACGCGCGTCGTAAATAAACTGCTATCGATATCGGATAACAAAATTCGTCGATCAAACCGTAGCGAGTTTTCGAACGGTATAGTTCTAAAATTCAATGTCACGCGGACGAGGTCAACAAATTACATTTATCGTAATACCGTCGCAGACGGGTGCCGAGGATTTCGGCGCGTTCGTACGGTACGATAATTTTTCTTTTCTCTTATCAAGTTTTGGCNTCGCGGTCGGCGACATTTAATCAGCAAGTGACAACTGTTAAACGTGTGAAAGGTAGAAACTAATAATAACATATTGTTACCAAGACGATTAAATATTTAAATAAATATACTCTTATTTATCTGTAAAAAAAGTTCGTGAAAAAAATGCAAAAAACTATGTCAGGATTAGGACTTGACCTGAGTCTTCGCAGAACAGCCCGTGCCATTCCTAACGCGTTAGACCGCTCGTCCACATCCTGAACTGATAAAACCATTGATTTTAATATTGTTTGAATTATTGATAATTTGTTACGTAAAAACGTTTGAAAAATACGGAAAATGACGATAATATTGGTAAATTATTTTAATAGTATTAATTTATTATGTTCAAATTTAACAATTTTAGGTCTAAATGATAAATTGATATTTTTTTTATTTTTTTTTTTTCAGAAAATTATGTTCAATAAAACTATTCGACAAATTAATTAAGTGACCGTGGACAATTTAAGACCCAATCGACTTTTTAAAAGTAGGCATACTACACGAGTACAAGAACACGGAACTTGATTGAAAATCCAAGCAAAAAAACACTAGCTGAAATGCGCTACAAAAGACTGAACTAGTTGGATCACTTTATAAGAGATTAGACCCCTCGGTGAAACAAACCGAAGAAGAAAATCAAAATAAATGGATTGGCAAAAGTTAAAATAAACTAAACCATCCAAATATAGACAATCTTAATGAAGTAGCTCAAGACAGAGAGAGATAAAAAAGAGTTAGTTTTGCAGTAATGAGCTTGAATGGTCTCGGAATCCAAAAGAAGATATAATTCGCAACATGGGTATACTACTGTTGTTGATCTGGTAGGATATAAATAACTGCTATAGATCATTGCTAAAGAAAAACGATTCTAAGGGAAGTTTTATCACGTTTTGATGAATTTAAAATGTTAATTTTTAACTATATAAAATAAATTAGAGATGTACGTGTTTTTTTTTTGATTTTATATAATTTGGTTAAACGAAATTGCAGACATCTTTTTAAAAAGCCTGTAATTTTTAAACGTAACCTAATATTTAACTAATTTTAAGCTGCTAATAGTTGAAGCTGCTGTTAAGTTTTAATGTAAATATAAAATACAATCCACAAACGTTCATAGTATTTTTTAAAAAAGACATCCGTGAGTAGTATAGTTTCGTCACTAACTTTTTAAATTTTTCTGTACTTATTGTGTATTACAGAAATATATTCTACATTATACATTATACATTTTTCTTAATAGTTGGAAAATGGGAATTTTTACAGAATTTAACGGTACATTATTTTCGATTCAATTCTTTTGAGTGTACCAATATACCAGTATAAGTAAGTTACCAGTTATACGGAATATGTTGTTAAAAATAATCTTAGAGATCTGAATAATTGAATAACATCGCAGAATTAGTACACATGAGTCTTTTCAAGGCGTGATACAATTTTAATAACATTCTGGCGGTTTTCGTACTATTTTTTAGGAATTTTACATTTTTGGGGATTTTTTTCAGTATTATTTTGTTTAATGAGGATTAAATCATTTTTCAAATCAATAATGCAATAGAAATTTAGTACCGGTATAGTAAATACGAAATGGAAGCAAAGTTGCCCCCTGCTGACTGTTGTCATGTGCGTAAGATAATTTTACCGAAAAACGCGTTTATTGTTTACCGCCCCGCTTTACCGTGTTTCTATCGACAATGTTCAAACAACAATAACACTCACGTCGGTAGCGGGTCCACAGTTCGTTCGAGAGGGGGAATGGGGGGTGCGAAGGCCGCGGTTTCATGTTTGTACGTGTACATATTTTTACTTCCAACCCGTAGGTTAGCTTGCGACTCTTCTTCTCCATTCTTCGCGGTTACTCGCCATCTGTTTTAGTCCCCTATAGCTTTCCGATCACTGCGTCTTTCTCGGTTTGTCCGATAAATGTATTGCGAGGTCGCCCCGCGGATGGTCTTTTCCCTACAATCACGCCTTCTAATATCGTAGTATGTAATTCTTCCCGGGTGTTTTTGTGCGTGTCCCCCCATTTTCAATATTTTCTTTACAGTCGACTCTATAGTGGGTATAAACAGGGCCGGCGTTAGGTGTGAGCGACCAGGGCCTACACCAAGGGCGTCTTATGTAAGGGCGGTCCTCAGGGATAATTATTGTACTTGATTAATTGGAGGGGATCACAAAAACACGGCTCCGCTCGGCGTGCCAGTATATGTAACGCCGGCACTGGGTATAAGCGTTTCACATAGACTAATTCCAGTACATCTTGGTTTCTTTCACGTCCCATTCAGCTGATCATTTCCGTGCATTTCCAGCACCCACATCTCAAATGTCTATTATGCTTTACACACATACAAGACCGTGTAACTGATAATTTGTTTGATTTACTATACACTACTATTTGTACGTGCACGCCACTGGGCACGCATCTCTCCGATTATGGCCCCGAATATACCGGAAAATCCGTTAAACAATTAAACGCCCAAAGTATGGAACATGCCGATAATATCACAGAACAAAATGTTTACATTAATAAATAATTGTTTATCCTCGAAAGGTTATAAATGGTTGTTAATGTTGCCGATAAAAACAACGCTGTATTATACTTATATTCACCCGGGCGAATCTACCAGACGATATGGACACACAATAAAAAAAAATCCGATATTATGATTCCCGATCGCCCGAATCGACACCGATTTGTTTTGCTAAATCGGTGTGGTGACTATTACGATACGCGATGAGATCCGTGATCGTTTATTTAGGTGCAGCATTCGAATCTCTTGTGGAATACCAGCGGGACCATTCTGGAACTAAAAACTTTATCTGTATTTGTATTGTACATTGATTCGTGTGCACCGGGAACGATAGTGTGTTTGAGAACAACTGTTGTCGGTTATGATATTTATTTTTTTATATACTTGTTTTATACTTGCGCGCTAATTATCTAAATGGTTGTTGAGCCGGTCGCGCGATTAGATTGTATACGATATCGTATAATAATAATAGCCACCGCGATGACGACAGGCCAATTGGATTCTATAACGTGTTTAATCTTAATTATGATAAGATAATATAGGTTAGGTCGTTATAAAAGGGTAATTTCAGAGGTTATACTCGGGTGGAGGAAGGGGGTTCCAAGCGAGATGAAAATGACGCAACAGTTGTACCGGAGAAAAATCGACCGCGTTCGTAACGTATTTTACGGAGTGATCGACATAACTTAAAAAAAAAAAAAAAAAAAAAAAAAAAAACCTCTTGTTATCTCGGAATGTATATATTCGA